TACCTTCCCATTGTGCACTCTGGTGATCAGCACAATATCCCCAACTGAATATGAACAGTGATGAAGAACCCGTCTCATCTTGTCTGCACTGTAGTTTAGATGGTCCATCTTAATAGGGTCAGCCGTCTATAAATAAATAACCTGGAAACCTCCCCTCCCTTTTGCATAATGTGATTTGACTCAGGACAAGCGGTTCTATTGATTATGTGCTATTGAGGTCTGCTGTGGGCGATTTGGCACAGCTGACCATCCTCTTAATATTGTTTCTGGAATGATTCAGATAAAGTTTAGAAATAATCAGAATTTGAATGCTGTTTGTTTGTGGCACATTGTTAAGAGGTTACAGAAACACATGGCCTCTTATGTGCGCCTGTGCACACATTGGTTCACGCATCATGTGCTTGTGTGTGTGTGCTGAGCCACATGCCGATGCTTCAGCAGACAGCTGACTGTTGCCCACATCTGTGTAAAGGGACTGGCATGCTAACTCAATAAGGGGAGGAGAGCGGTACCCAACTGTGTCTGACCGGCAGACAGCGCTTGTTACTGTCAGAATGCTGTTTGCTAGTAGTAAGGATTCACAATATATCGGCCAGCATATCGCTATCTGCCGAGATGTGTATTTATTTTTAATTAATGTTATCTTTATCGGCCCGATATGAAGATTTGGCTGATATCTTAGGGGTTGTTTACACGACAACAGCGTTTTAGGTGCCTGAAAATGCAAACTTTTGAAAACGTGTTTCAAAGTGAAAACTACAAAAATGCGAATCTCTGAAGACGATGACATCATGTGTATTACATATTTACTATAGTGTTTCATCGGCATCAAACTTTTCAGTTTTAAACATATCGTTGTCGTGTAAATGTTTTCTTTAAGCTGATAAATAATGGATTATTTCCTTCAGTTGAGACACTTCAGATGCACACTGTTCGCCATGATGGTACATGATGGATAGAATTTTTTTTTATTATTATTTTTTGGTAAGGAAATTAATTTTAAAACTTAATTTTTAAAGTGCTTGGAACATGGCTTTTTAATGGTGAGACTTTTATTTTTGTTGCTTTAGTCTGGTTCACTTATAGTTCTGATAGACAAATATAGGAAAATAATATAGTAACAAAAAAATAGGAAAATATCTTTAGTGAATTTTATTATTATTACATATGAGTAGATTATATAATAATAACCCTAATTATTGTTCTTATTATATAATACTTATTATTGTAAGTTATTATTATATAACACAATTATTATATACAAAGTGTACAAGTCATTTTTATAAATGCAGTATGTCACCTGCTATTACCAAATTATTAAAATGTGCATTTTTAAATTAAACTAATCATAATTATTGGGAATATGCAATTTGCAAAAATAGCTAATGGTATCTATCTAAAAGAAATTGTCTCAATTATGCATGCACAAAAATCAAAAGCAACAATTGTAACAAATTGTTAGGGCTGTGAATATTGTTCATCCTTAAATCAGGTCTTGAGAACAGGCTTAACAAACTCAGGATTTGCCTCGGAGCAGTGATGTCATGTGAACTGGTCTGAGCGAACAGTAGCCTGTGTCTTCATTGTTTTGCGTAGCGTGAGAGAGGAAGAGAGGAAAGCAAATGCATCAGTATTGTGAACTTAAACCGAGGGAGATGAAATATCACTCCAAATTGGATTTGTTGGGGGTTAGTTAAGGGCTAGTTATATGCATGGCATGACCAAAAAAGCTAATCTCCACTATCAGAAAATAAACAATGATTTAGAGCTGATAAGCATAAAAATTCTCTCATGGATGTCCAGTTCAAGTCTCGTGCTTCTGACTGGATTTAGTCCTGTATGTGTTAGTGTGTCGTCAGTATGTTTGCTGTCTCTTGTCACTTTCCCTCCACCATCACTGCTCTCTCTCAAACTCATTTTTTTCCCTCATTCCTTCTGAGTCACAAGCCTGGAGAGAAAACTGCAGAGAGATAGTCCAGTGTTCCTCCACTGTTTCAAGACGTCTGCAGGAACTCGATGTTCTCACAGTCTCAGTACAGTACAGCTAGCCCTACTGCAGAAAAAAGGTGTGTGTGTGTGAGTGGAAGAAAAATGCCTGTCATATGTGGAGCTGTTGTCTGGGTGAAACAATTAGCAAAACTGTTACATTCAGCTTTAGGGCTGTTAGTTACTGACGTGTGTCTCTATTTTTTAATAAATGATAAGCCACTCGATAAGCTGTTGCTGCATTCATTTAAAGCATCCTCCTCCTCCTGACTTCCCCTTTTTGGTGAACTTATGTTATGTAAAAGCTCTGCCTCTCCCAGATGTGTAACTGAGGTGGATGTCTGATGCTTTGTTGATGTTGACCACACCTGAAAATGATGGAATAAAATGACGTTGATGGAAGAAGAGTTGTTATACTGAGGGCAGGATTGATGTTATGTGAGCGTGACAAAGAATCATAGATCAAGGCTGGAAAACTGAACAGGACATGGTTTTAACAAGTTGTATTTTTTTAAGTTGATCTGGATTTGTTGACTTTCTATATTGAATTGTATTTAGCTACAAATAATATTAAATATTATTTAAAAATAATTTTGCATGCTCGTTTCCTCTATTTTTACTGATTACCTACTGATTATTCTGATTACCTTCTCAGTTATTGCATGCTCAATTAAAGGGGTCATGAACTGGATTTAAAAAAAAATGTTTATATTGTTTTCTGAGGTCAACTTATTATGTTCTCCTGTTTTTTACATTTAAAAAACATCAAAATGTTTAAGTAATAGGCTATTTTCTACTCTAGTTTTGAGCCCAGCTCAAAAACGCTCAGTTTTTATGGGTGTCTCGCACTGAAGACATGGAAGTAAACGCCCACTGCTGTGAGTGGATAACAGTTTTGCAAGAAGAAGTATTTCCTACTAAAGCAAGGTAGTTTTTGACTATGGGAAGCTCCATTGTAGACTGGTGGGAGTGGCCTTGGACAGCAACATGCCCAGTGCATTATGGGTGGTGAAGTTTTCCTATCTATTTTGCGAAAGGGACGACAACAGCCTTTTTTGTGTTTTCTCCTGTCGGGTAGCTCCGAATTCCCCCCCCCCCCCCCTTCTTTTCTAGTTTCTACTGTGTAGGAAACCAAGTTTTATTGAAAGTGGTAAAGTAGCCCTTTAATCTTTCAAAACAGCAATAGCACTGTTAAATGTTATCTGGCAAATCTTAACCTGAGTAGTATAAATAAAATACAAAATAGTAACATATTGACCATTTATTGGTAATAATTATCATCTGTATTAGCCAGCATTTGAAGTGTTAAACAACTAAAAACAAGTCTGCTAGTGATGAATGAATCCTTGACTGTTTCACACAGTTCTGTGTTTGCAATCCTATGCAGGCTAGGCTTGAATCATGTAGCTTAGCTCTTGTGTAGTGTATTACATGGACGATTAGATTACATAAGAGCAGGACACTTATAATATTTGTTTTCCTCATGACAAGGATTAACGTCTGGAACACAGCATGTTTTAGCAGGTGAACCACAGCAAATCCACGCCTGGAAAATGTCAATATTGAGATAGAGATGAGCAGATCTGATGAGTCTTGGTTTGTACATCAGCGCTGTAAGTGGTGAAATGTTTAGGAGACATGATGGAGAAGCCTCATCTGTTTGACATAACACTCTTACATAACAATAATTATGTTGGTTTTTATATCTTTTTGCTGATAAGGCGTTTCGTATAGCCCCCTTTATAAACAATTAATTCTCTATTGCAGTTTTGTTAGTTTATTGACAAAGGGTTGAGAGTAAATCTGTATCTAGATTATCTTAATTCTTCCTTATTTGAACTTCTTTATCAGACCATCTTGTTGTTCTGAGATGTTTGCCAAACTTTTGCATTGGCAAAATAGTTGGTTTTACCACTCTTTCAGTAATTGCATAATATCATTTGCCCTGCATGAGATGTTCTTGCAACTCAATTGTATTAGGTTGTTTAATCGATTGCTTGTTGGCTGTTGGGTCATGACAGTCTCCCGATGCGAACCCAGCTTCAGTGATTCCCAGGCTGATTTTTAGTTGACTCACGAGTACATCCGCTTCTGTTGCATGAGCCTAATATTGAACTTGTACAAAACGCTAGTCCATCAACTCCTTGATGGCTCATGTGATAACAGAGGGCCTCTTTGTGTCCACAGAAACTGTCAGGCACACGGTGGGTAACAGCATGGGTTCATATTTCTCTGGAAATTTGATTCACTGAAAGGTGTTAATTTTCACTGACCATGAGGCTCAAATTAAAAAAACTGTTGCTATTTTTAGAAACATTGTATATAATTTGTCAGAATTATAATAATATGAACGAATGAATGAATGAATATTTGTAAATAATGAAATGTCCAGTCAGTCCTTAACAATATTTTTTATATAATGTCAGAGTATCTTTAATTTAATTAATAAATAAATATCAAATACATTGTTTAATGTTTTAACAATTATTTTATTTTTTTTCTATTTCTTCATGAGACAAATTTACAACAAAAAATAAATTGCAAAGCACAAATAACTGATAAGGGATAATACACATTGTTGCTATTTTAATTTTTTTTTTATAAAGCGTCAAGATGAAAATATTCTCATTGTTTTAGATTCAATTAATTCATTAACAATCATTAATCAACTGACATTCATTAGCATAAATCCTATAATGTATCTTGAAAACACAGATTTACAACAGATGACTAAATCCAGCATTGTCAAGCCGTATTTGAGCCAAGTATCCAGCGTTTGTCACATCTGAATTCCCCCTCCATTAAACCATGCAGGCCTCTGAGAGTCATAAGACTGTAATGAGGCGTATCCAAGAGGCTCTTTCTCTTGAGCTTGCTTCTGATGCCTTTTATCAGTGGTCGTGATATGGTTTGTAAAATAAAGTTTTATGTCATAGCACGTGTTGCTTCTGATGTCATGATTTTATGCTTATTTATTCAGTAATTCTTGATGAATGTGACTGTGTGTATTACAGATCATAGAGTCTCTGGGAATAATGATCTACAAGGCTTTGGATTACGGCCTGAAGGAGCATGAGGAGCGAGAACTCAGCCCTCCTCTGGAGCAACTCATCGACCTCATGACCAACATGGCAGACACAGAAACAGACTGTCCTGATGAGGGATACGAGGCAACGGAAGAAGAGGATGAGGGAGAGGAAGAACCTACAGAAGTCTCCAACATTCGTGGCTACCGTGACATCATTTCTGTAAGTATAGATAGATTCGTTCTGGGCGGTTTGACCAAAAATGTGTATCACGTTTTGTTTTTTTTAAGCCGCTTTTCTGGTTTAGAGAGAACTGAACGTTCTTATAACCAAGAAATAGCGCTAATAAAACATCTAAAAAGCTTGACGTTTTGAATGTTCCTAGAACATTCAGAAATAACGTTTTTATAACTCCGGCGCAAAATGAGCATCGGTACCTAGTCAACCGTTCTTTGCGATTTGTTTTCATGATAATCGAATGTAAAGAGTTTTATCTCTAAAAACTGTTTAGCGTATAACGCTAGTAATGGGGGCGTTTACTAATTAAGTAAAAAGAAATCGCTAGTTTATACTACTAACAAGGCTCAAAATAGCCCCACACTAACACAGTAACATAATGAGGGTCCATACATGCAAAACGAAGCATTGAGAACTTTGTAAGACCGTTTAATAAGGAGATACTTTATAAAGACGGTTCACTTCGTGTATACAGACAGGAGCCATCTTGGAAAACAGTCACGAAATCGCGTACCATGTGAGTACGTACTATATTTAAATAAGAACGTACTTCGCGACCGTTAAAAAAGTGCAATCTACAGTATATAGTATGAATACGAGTAGTATGAATGAATGAGTCCGGACGTACTACATGTTGTTGTCGCATGACATACGCTGTCATAACAGTGCGAAAATTTAAAGTGCCCATTTCAGTGTCTGCACCAACTTTGCACGCTTTTTACGTCATCCGAGCCGACAATCGAGAGGAGGTGTCGGTCAGCTACTCACAGATCACGCCTTTTGTGGAATTTCTCAAATAACATTTAATTACTAATACATTTTTCCTCATAAAACACACATACAACTGCTATGAACAATGACAGATGTTGATTTTTTGGGAAGGAAAAAGCCATTTATTTGCTTGTGATATTACCATCGATAAATAAACATGAATGAATCAAGAGAGATACGCATATGTGTCTGTTTATCTCCTAACGTTACAGTTAAAATCTTATTGAAATATAGATTTTTTTTATTAAATATAATGTATACAATATGATCCATATAGAAATTGTATACATTTTTACATAAGTAAAAAAAAGTTTTCCCCCTTTGTGAGTCTTGGAAAGCAAGATCTTGGCTTAATCTATTCTCTCTTATCTCTGAATGTTATTTACTGAGAGATACTCTCACCGCTGGTATTCATTATGCTGCTCCCTCAGGCCCACTCCACTAACGCATTACCCTGAGACTCCATAAAGGCATTTAGACACTTATCAGCAGTTATTCTAAATTAGTCATATTTATCAATACGCTAATGTAGCTGTGGAAAGAAAGAATACGACCAAACTGAGGGAGTTAACATCGTAATGAGCAGTACCTTTAACTTATTCGCCATGAAAATACATATGGAAAGATAAACCACTTGAGTTAAACAACAACATGCATCTGGTAATGGTCAGTGTGGGTCACAGTACGTTCTACATTATTCTGCAGGATCTTTTCAGGACAAGTTAGATAATCTCTGTCCTTTCAGGCCTTCCTTTTTGTCTAGGAGCACAGAAACGAACCGTGACATTAGATTTCTTCAAGCTGACTGACTGTATTTATACTCTGCCTGGTGAAACCTTTTAAATTCTTTAATTAGACCGAGGAAGGTTTACAAAAAAGTTAAAGATAGCGCACTACTGTTGAGACGTACCTTTTTTATTATATCGGCCCATTTGCTTGGAATGGGAAAGTAATTTCACTTCATATCTTCCTCCTGTCAAGTCTAGCTTTCTTCCCCTAAGTTGTATTCACTTTCCCTTGGCGTAATCAGTATTCTCGTCAAGCGTGATTCTTCAGCAAGACGCGTCATGGAGGGAATCTACGCTGTGTAAGACATTCCTGAAGTGGGCAGAGCTCGAGGAAGGTGTGGGGAGAAATGTCATTAAGCCGGTTGGAGGTGTCTTTGGTCGGCGTAATTGTATATTTAAAATGCGTGTCATGCTCAAACTATTATACCTGGGACACTGAACTTTAAACGGGCCTGTGTTTTTCAGCTGCTAGGAATGCAAGCTTTGGGTTTGGCTCTCAGCTATGTGCCAAATCATAATGTGTAATGCAAGAATTAACTTAGACTGATTTTTTTTTAAAGTCTGTAAAAGATACAAGGATTAACTTTTCAGACAGAGATAGAGGAGACGTGCATTGACCTTAAAATGCACTTCTCTCCTCTACAACCCTGTGAACTATTTTAGGAAAGAGACTTCCTCACAAACAGAGCAATTAGTAAAGATTTGTAGACGTAATGTAACCAGTTTGCTTGCGAATGGGACAAAGCAGGGGAATGTTTGGGAGCATTGTTGTGTTTAGTATATTAATAGCAACATTCAAATGGGAAATAATAAACATTAAAAGTTAAATTTACTGTTATTGCTTGTTTGGTCTCAGTCTAAGGGACAACATCTGGTCATATGATGGTTGCCCAAACAAATGGTACTCTACTAAAAAATGGAAATAACTTTTTTTTTTCAGAATTCCTGGTCTCATGCTGTGATTTTTAGTCTCACTGTTTTCTCCTTTCCAGCTCTGCACGTCTCACCTCCCCAGCCCGACGGATGCCCCCAACCACTACCAGGCCGTATGCCGAGCCCTGTACACAGAGACCAAGGAGCTACGCACCTTCTTGGAGAAGATCAAGTGTGCCAAAGAGGTAATGACCCTCATATTGACACTCATGTCTAGTTATTTATGGGACAACTGCCAATTGTGGGTGACTTTAAAAAAAATATACAGACACACACACACACACGCGCACACATATTATCAGGGTTGTGTTTTTGTGATTTATGCCGAAAAACAAAACAAAACAAATGAAAGGTCAGCGTCTTACAACAATATTGGTATGATTGGGTGAAAATCAAAACAGATGTATATTTCCATTGCTGAAAGCCTCATGAGGCTATTGTGTTTATAAAATAGAATAGAGTGAGTGGGCTGACAGCTCAAGTGGACTGTGAATTTGGTTTGAAACCAACAATGCTTAGTGCATTTATTACCTAACGCATTGCCATACGCTTGTTTAATCTGGTTTTAATGCTGTAAATCTTTCAATATTCTCAGACATTTACATATAGATTATCTACACAGATCTGGAATTTCTATAATCTACTACAGTAAAGATGACAAAATTTAGAGAGTGATATTTGCTTAAGTATTGGATATGTAAATATTTTGGTATTTAATGAATTTGTTCTTAATTTATTATTTATTTAAACCATTTTTTGATTTATTATAAATATTACATATTTGATTTTACGTGTCTCGTCATTATTAGATTATTGTATCTCAAATATTTTCAGAGCCATTTTTTAAAAAATAAAGCAAGACTTTAGTATGGCAAGCTCTTTAGCAGTGCTTTGTAAGTTAAGCCAATTATTATTGATATGACTCAAAGTGTTACAGTGATTTATTAACAAACATTATTATGAAGTGTTATACTTTGATGACATGGTTTTATTTAGATGCTATTAACTCTTAAAAACAATATTTGCATAGACTGTAGCATGGCCCTCATAGCTTTCATTGGCTAAATGAAAGAGGGTCTAAATGTTACATTCAAGTCATGCCGAAACTTTTGAAGAGATTCGCTCTAATATTTTCATGATAAAGGTTATGAACATCTTTACCTGTCAATACTTGACATTTCATTAATAAACGGCATGAACTGCACTATTATGACTGCACTATGTTGTCCATTTGTCTATCCATCCGTCCATTTATCCATAAAGACATCCATACATGCATACATACATATATGTATCCATACATACTGTACATGCAAGCATCCATATATTGACCAATACATACACCCATAGATATGTACACGTTGTTTATGCATCCATACATGTATGCAATATGGACAAACGTATTGGGGCACCTGACCATTGCACCAACAGGGACTGTGATAAAACTGCATTCTAAATACATAGACATTATAATGGAGTTAGTCCCCCTGTCGCTCCCACTCTGTGGGAAATTTTGCCCATTCATCCCGTTGAGCATTTGTGAGATCAGGCATTGATGATGGAGGAGAAGGCCTGACCCATAATCTCCATTCCAGTTCATCCCAAAGGCTGTGGCGCATCTACACATATCTCACAGCCTGTGCTGCTGTATATATTATCTTTATTTGTCCTATAATCCTATATTATCTATTTGTTCTACTTCAGTCATGGCTGTAAAGTTCTTTATTAAGTTTATGCATTTTTTATTTATTTATGTGGAGGTCTCTTATTGATTTAAATCTGTGACCGTGAAGGAGGAAATGCATCTGTCTCGATCTCTCCTGTCCTGCTGTGACCACACACTCTTTGCTCTCTGCATAACCAGCTCTTTCTAAGTCTGCCACCCTCAATGACTAGACTGCGCTCACTGAAGCCTGTGCATGGTCAGGATCAGTCTCTGCTTTGTCTCTGACACTCTGAGACATTCTTTCAATTCATAATAGGATTTTAGAGTTCAATTGAATTGTAATTGTGTTTTAGCTTCTTGATCCCAGTGTTCCAGTTATGTGTTTTTAGATTTTGAGGGATCTTTTTTGCATATTCATAATCAATAAGAAAATTTAAATCTTGCCCTACATACATATACACACTACCCATTACTACACAGATACATATATAATAGTGTGCATTTCATTTTATTACTAAGGCTCGTAAGAAGCGGTTTTAAGGGGATAGCTGTTTGATCTCCCTAGTCAGACAGGCATGTTTAGCCCATTTTTGTGTAATGTGTTGATTGTTTAAACTGTCTCATGCAATCAAATGGCATGTGAACATGTAACATGAGCCTTATCCTTTTGAATGTGTTCTTTCTCTCAAAGGCTTTAGTTTGCATTAGCCTGTTTGCTATAGCTCCTAATCCTCTAGCACCAAGTGGCACTTGGTGGAGGTCACATGTTGGTGGGTTGTGGCCTTGTGGGTGAAACAGGAGCAGTTATCATGGGTCTAGAGCAGGGCTGCTCAATCCTAAACCCGAATTTAGTCCCATCTCTAATAATATTAATAATTAATTACATTTATATAGCGCTTTTTCTGGGACCTCAAAGCGCACATGGAAGAGGGGAATCTCGTCAACCACCACCAATGTGCAGCATCCACCATATTGCGCCAGAACGCCCACCACACACCAGTTTATTGGTCGAGAAGAGACCGAGATGAAGCCAATTAGCATATAGGGATGATGAGGCCAAAGGGCAAATATGGCTTGGATGCCAAGGTTAAACCCCTACTCGTTTGCGAAGGACATCCTGGGATTTTTAATGACCACAGAGAGTCCAGACCTCAGTTTAACATCTCATCCGAAGGCATAGTGTCTCTGTCACTATACTAGCGTGTTAGGACCCACACTGCTGGCCTCACTAACACCCCTTCCAGCAGCAACCTGGTTTTCTCAGGAGGTCTCCCATCCAGGTATTAACCAGGCTCAGTCCTGTTTAGCTTCAATGGGCAACCAGTCTTGGCCTCAACACATCTTATCTAGTCAAACCGCTAATCCAGGACAAATTTCACATGCTATCTGTTATAAATAGTATACAAGATTAGATTGAGTGCATCATTGAACATTTAATTTAGTGTGGTTCTTAGTGGATTTTCAAAGCGACTCTATTCTCATTTCCCTCAACCTTTGCAGATAGAGTTTGTGGGGATTTTGCTGTTGTCAAAAATGTCAATTTTTTTAATGTATGAACCTAAAAGTAAAGTAGTAATGAAATTAAGCTAAATGTTATAGATGTTAATACTTACACTGAACAAATTTGGCGTGGAAACAGTTTTCACTTGGAAGTGGCAAGTAAATTTCACAAATCATTACAAAGAAAAGACCCACACGTTGAATAAAACATGACATTTTAAATTAGAAAGAATTAAATAGTATTTTTCTTGTAAAATGTACTCCAGTAATCTTTATTATGTGTGCAACAGCTCATCAAGATGGAATTTTTATGACGGTCGTCTTTTTGCATGTTTAACATTGGCTAGTGAAAAGTTCATGCACACACCTACTCAATCTTAATAGTTCTGATTTTCACATGTTAAATAATAGTGAAGTCATCAAAAAAGTGTGAAATAATGTTGACAAATTGCACATTGACTGTGAGTAATAGAACAAGCAGCCCAGATCAATTGTTCAGTTGAATATTACTGGCTTCTTTGTTAGTTATGATGCACCATAGTAGATTTTAAGAAGCTGGATTGAATGAGCACGCCTGCTTTAGAGGAGAAGATGAGTGAAGAGAGCGAGTGGAAAGGGGCAGAAAAAGGCAGAATCTGCTGTGTGGTTCTTTTGATCTTAGCTAGATTGACAGAAATAGTCTCGCTCTGATGATTCAGAGCTTTTTTTTCCCTCTGCGTCTGTTTCTTTTTCTTTCTTATGCATCAATGAATTCTTCCTTTTTAGATTGTGTTTTATGATGCAGCACAGTTGTGTTTGATTTAAGGGATCAGACTCTGGGTTACAGGAGGGGGAAAGACTCCAAAATCACCAAAGGAAGTTAATATGCAATCCAAGCGGCTGCAAAAGAATGATTTATTGTTCTGACCATAAGCCTGGTTTATATAATTTGAAGGCTATGCCAGAAAAAAAAAAATCCTAATTTAAATTGTACACATTTTAATTTGTCCTGTGATGGTAAATCTCCTTTATTTTGTCGTCAACGTCAAACCACACGAACTCACAACAAACACGTTGAGAGCATTTTCTAAGTCTACTAAACACGTTTATATAGTTTGTCGATTGGTTGCAGGTGGCACAGCCATTACCACCATCATGGATGCTGTTGTCCCAACTTCAACCCTTTGTGGAAATGACCTTTTTCCAATGTAGGTTAGACTAGTTAAAGTAGTTAAAGACTAGATTAGCTGCATATTGATCATGCTACAATATTGATGAATTAATATTGTCCTACTTGCTTGGACTGTCTGTCACATGAGAACAAATCGATTTACAAACAAGCCAGACCCACAATGGTTAAAGCGACATTGACTTTTTCTTATTTTAACACCAGACTGAGGACAATCTAGGCCATCTGTTACACCAATTCTGAATACATTTTATTGAATGTTTCCTGGGATTTCTAGTACATTGTATATATATACAATATGCAGTGTTGTGTGTGTACACACACACACACACAATATCTCACAATGTGAGTTCACCCCTCACGTTTCAGAAATTTGTTTTAGTATATCTTCTCACGGGACAATACTATAGAAATTAAACTTGTATTTATTTCAGAGTAGTCAATGTGCTGCTTGTATAGCAGTAAATATATTTACTGTCCTCTGAAAATAAGTCAACACACAGCCATTATTGTCAAAATAGTTGGCAACAAAAGTGAGTACACCTTAAGTGAACGTCGAAACTGTGCCCAAAGTGTCAATATTTTGTGTGAGCACTGAGCACCATTGTTATCTAGCACTGCTTTAATCATCCTTTTTATCTTAAATCTTACAAGTTTATCTTAATATCATTAGACCACAGGGCATGGTTCCACTAATTCATGCTCTTGGACAGGATGCTTTCAGAACACCTTCAGCCATCTTCAGAAGATGCTTCCTTCTGGGATGACAGCCATGCAAACCGACTAGTTGCAGTGTGCAGTTTATGACCTTCAGCTTCACTAGTTGCTTGGAAAACATCTGTATGATCATGGCCACTGTACTGTATCTCAGTTTCAGGGTGTTACCAATCTTCTTATAGCCTAGGCCATCTTTGTGGAGAGTAACAATTCTACTTCTCAAATCCTTAGAGAGTTGTTTTTCCATGTCGAACATCCAGTGGTCAGTATGAGAATTGTACTCAAAGCACAAATTTTAACTTTCTTAATACACAAATTTGTATGATCCTGTCAAGCAGACAAAAACATGAACATGCTAATATGACGTAGGTTGTACTCTCAGCCATTATTGACAAAATAGCTGGCAACAAAAGTATGTTGAGTTATTTTCAGAGGACTGTAAATATATTTACTGCTATACAAGCAGCACATTGAGTACTCTAAAATATATCCAAGTTTAGTTTCTATAGTATTGTCCCTTGAGAAGATATACTAAAATGTTTGCTGAAATGTAAGGGGTGTATTCAATTTTTTTTATGTAATATACTATATAGATATGTAATACATTTATTTTTATTTAGACATTTTAAAATATGTTTTAAGAAATAAGTTTTTATATATTTTAGAAATTTAAAAAAAGGGGGGGGGGGAATATATTTCTACATAGGAAAATGTTTTTATAAATAAAATGTTACGTATTTTATATATTGTTTTTTCAGTTTTGAGAATTATATGTCTGTGAAGCCCTTGCAGGATCTTCACAGCCCTCTTCTGAAACCTTTGGAATATGTCTTAAGATCGTTTTCTGTCTTTTTTTCTCTCAGAATTTGCGAAAGATGGAAGGAGAAACACAGGAGCCCGTCAAAGACCTGAATGAGTTGCAAAATGCTGACTGGGTAAGAGCAATACCACCAAAGTAATGCTGCTGAATGTAGTCCGACTAGGCTCTGTTAAAGGCATAATCATTTTACAAGTCCCCCAGAGTTAAACAGTTGAGTTTCATTGTTTTCAAATGCATTCAGCCGATTTTCTGATATTTAGAAGAATATCAGTAACCAGACAGTTTCTGGTCTCATTGACTTCTATAGTATATATGGGATATTGAGTATCGCTTTAAGAGTGCACTTTGGATCAGGATGTGTTTTTCCACAGGCACGGTTTTGGGTGCAGGTAATGAGGGACCTAAGACATGGTGTGAAGCTGAAGAAGGTCCAGGAGCGTCAATATAACCCTCTACCCTTCGAGTACCAGCTCACGCCTTATGAGATGCTCATGGATGACATCCGCTCGCAACGCTACAAACTTCGCAAGGTCATGGTTAGTGTGGACATGATAAATATGTGAATTGATGATTCACGAATTTATATATATTGTGATTTCAGCATCTTTTTAAACTTTATTTCTCCATGAAAAAACGAGCATGAGTCACTTTTTCCTTTTGTACCAACATTAGTCACACAGTTCAATTCACTTTTATTGCTGTTTGTTACAGAGATCATAAACCAAAACAATGTTTACGTTGCTTATCAGAATTCAAGTAGGCTTATTTCTGAAGCTCTAGGTTTAAAAAAAAAAGTTTTATAGGCCAATTTGAACCTAGTCAGGTAATGGGTCAAATTTTTAATCAACAAGCCTCCAGTTATTAATGCAGAGACAATAGCACATAGCTGTCACTAATAATATTTGAATGCATTCTTCAGACAGGACACTTGTTTGGTATGTGTCCAGTGCTTACTTTTCTGACTCAATGCAAATGACACAGACTTTGGGTTTTAGTTTACTGACAACATGTGCTTATTGTAAAGAGCCTGTCTGACCTTTGATCCCCGCTGTGCCTTCTTTTTACTGCAGGTCAATGGTGACATTCCTCCGAGGTTAAAGAAGAGTGCCCATGAGGTCATACTGGAGTTCATTCGATCCAGGCCTCCACTGAATCCTGTAAGCATGAAAGCATACAAAATACACTTACTTTTGGTCATTTGTGAGAGTTTCTTTAAAATTAAATGAATCTATTCATACAAATTATACACCTATTACCTCAAACCTTTCAACCATTACTCCTTTGTGTGTTTGGATGTGCTTTTAGGCTTCTGCTCGTAAGCTTAAGCCTCATCCTCAAATACCTCCAAGTCTTCATGAACGTATCCTGGAAGAGATCAAGTCGGAGAGAAAGCTGAGGCCTGTCTCACCTGACATGCTCCGTAGAAGTCGACTCGGTTAGTGCACTTTTTCACATCATTTAAGCATATGACTAAAAACATAAGCTGGACTACATATACTAATAAAAAACACTGGCATTTTTAATTCTGACATTACATACACTACCAGTCAAACATCTGGGGACATCTACTCTTTCTTTCTCTTTTTTCTAATTTTATAAAAATATTAAAGCTATCAGAACTATGAAATAACAAAAATAGAACTATGGGATTTATTAGTGACCAAAATATTACTTTTCCATCACTAACTAGTTCAACTTGTCCATAAAAAAAGAAAACATTACGCATAATTAAGTTATAAACAACTGTTAATAATAATCATTAGATGATGATAATATACGTATGTATGTAGGTGTGTATTTAAAAAAAATTAATAATAATAATTACTGTGTGTGTGTATATGTATATATAATTATTTTTTTATTATTATTCAACAAGCACAGTTTCTAAAGATTGAAGCATAATCAAAAGGTTTTTAAGATAATTTTAATCAAGTGTGTCCACATTTTTGGCTGCTAGTGTTCATCATTTACCAGTGCACCATTTCTCCATGTTTATCGTTCTGTGCACAAATATTTTTCCAAATACATTCTATTCATATTCTATATAAATTATTGATTTTACTTAGCATTGTATTTACATTAAAACCATGCTTCATGCTGTTAACCTAAATATCAAGTATTTCAGTCATGTGGAGGGAGGTGAGTACTGTATGTGTCATGACAGACAGCAGTACAGATGTGTGACAGTGTGTCATTCTCATGCATGGCTGCTTGTGTTATACTGAACCATTGCAGTTTTCAATTGCCTCTAACAGTGTCTGTAGTAAAGCCCTGTGTCTTTAACTCTTGTGCTGCACATTTAATTTACAGCTGTAAATCTCTAATATTGCACCTTGGATTGATACTGTAGGTTTTTTAAATGTATTTATTCACCTTGTTACAAAACATTAGATTCATGTAACATTCTGTACATCAGCTCCATTGATATTTAAAAGGTTATAGAGAGGGTACGTAATCCTAATAGTGCATTTGCCCTGAGATTTGCTCTGTAGAATTCAGTAGGGTTGAATGTGTTGAATGTGTGCATACATAAAAGCCTTTAGGCTATTTTGTGTGGATGATTGTACAGTTACATAAGCACAAATCTGCCAATCATTATATCAGACTGATCCATGGATAAATGTCTCAAGATTTAAGTCGCTTAAGTTGCATGCCATAGGCGTATTTTCAGATTGTGTGGTGAAAAGAGTATTGTTTTCCCCATTTGCCTAAAGAGACAAATTTTAGAGTCTACACAGTCTATAAACCTTTAAAACTTAAAGGAGATTATTATAATAATATTTACTGTATGTTTTTTGAATAGTTGGACTGTACTATTTTCTCACATTTTAAATTTAAGGTTAAATAGTGGTTGCCTGGTGCAAAACTGCGATAAAGAAATCTTAAAAACACTTAAATAGTTTTATAAAGTTGATTATGCCACTGGTTGTGTGAATGTGCTGTCCATTTTATGTTGTCAGAAAACTTCATCAGTCCTCAGTTTCGTAATGTGAATCATAGCTTTGTCAGTATTACTTGCATAGTGGTTGTCTGGTATAAAATTGTACAAAAATAACATGGGTTCTTTCTTGAATCCCAAAAGAAATGACATGTTATTTGACTGCTCAGCTGTAGAATTGTGTTCCTGTTTATTAACAGATTTACAGAACAGCATCCTTTGTATCTGACATTGAATGCATTTACATTTAATACCTTGTTTTAACCCATGGCTTTATTTATCTTCTCCTCCCTCTCTTTTCATCCATAACCTCTGCCTCTCTCTCACAGTAATGTGCCCACTTAGCATGTCTGTCAGTTTTGACTCATCAGGTAAAGACTTCACTGTGGCTTTACCGCTGTTAGCTCACTGACCCTGCTTCTGTGGTTGTGCCTGACCTCCTCGGTCACCCCTACCCTTATGTCACGCTCCTCTACTGGAAGAGGACAAGGCAGTGCCTTCAGTCTAAAGGAAATACTTCTGACATTATCAAGATTGATAGAGGTCTTATTAGACCAGGATCGCATTCTGGAAAGGCTGGAATACACTACACAGCTTTTGCCCCTATTTGCAGTCTGGACAAGTTGGTAGTTTTTGACAAATGTCAGAGTCAGTCTGCAGATTTTGGTCAGCTTTTAATGTTTTGAGACTATTTTAGAACACATTGTTTTCATTTGTCATGCATTTCCTAGCAATAAGGCACGTTTCTGTGCAAGTTTGTTGTGTTCGGAATGACTTGAAAGTCTGGTAGTGTGTCATTTACACGGTGACGCGACAAAGCGGCCATTGCAAATCCATTTGTTTTTCTTGTCAGAAGTAGCTTGAGCGCTTGAAACACTGCAGAAATTGGGGTATCAGTTTACTGTTGGTAATTTGTCGCGTCATGCATCCAGTGTAGACAGCATCACTGATTATAATGGTTTTTATGTGCTTTTGTCACGTCGTGTCGTATGGTTCTTGTAAGTGTGAATTAATTTAATGTAATTCAAGACAAATTTCAGACTTTGTCTGACAATAAAGTTATATATCGTATATATGGTGTAGACAAAGTGTTAGTGTATGATGCACAGAGTTTCTCTAACCATTCACAAGTGTATGATGCCTCGTGTTTTAAAATCTGTTCAGATTTTTAAAAGTCATGTGGTGTATTCCAGTTTCAGGAATTTCAGTTATTGCATTTTTAGCTGACCAAGTAAGACCGATTCAAACAAATAAAACCTAGATATAGAGAATAAATCTAGGTTTGTATAAGCTTCTCTTTCAGCAATGATTTCTAGTATTTGCTTATCAGTCAATAGAGAGTAACTCTAATGTCCTGATTCTTATTGTAATTCTTAATAACCAGATGATATTCTTATATTTGAATAGACTTTAGTTATGCAAATATATATCATATTTAATTTGACGCCAGTGAAAATGAGGCATACATGGGTATATATATCATTTAATTATTCATTTATGGTGGTATCATGTTTTTTTCCATCCACAAATGTTATGCACAAGGAGATTCTCCCTAGAAACTGAAAAACAAATACATTTTTAGTTAAAACAATGGAATAAAATGATTTGTTAAATATATTTTGACTAGTTGCGTTATTTTATTGATAGCTCAAGTTAATAAGTATGATACAAATATATTCATTTTGACAGACCTACTGTAAAAGTATATGTTATCCACTTCCCCTTAGGAGTTTCAAGACACCGTTTTGATATAAAAACCTTGATATAAGAAAGATCATGCTACGTATGTTTCCATCCAAAGTTGCAAATTAAACTTTGAAGAATTAAAAACTTTCGTATAAAACAAACACTGTCGTGTTATCTTGCATTCAGAGGGAAAATCATTTTGCATTATACAGAATCATTTTGATGACACTTGGGGTTAGGCATTTCAGAATATTGACAAAATTTTAGATGGTGTGCGATGAGTTTGGTCCGCAGGTTAGTCCAGTTATCCAATCGCATGATCTGTTGAGGCAGACACGTGATTTCTTTTTCTTTTTATGCATCCTGGAATTTTCAGTAAATGCGTTTCTTCATAGTTTATGCAAATGTTTTGTTACAGAATAAAACAATTATTCATCTCAACTGAGCTTGTTTTGTTAAGCGTATTTTAAGATTTTATGTGCATCTTGTCATTTTCGTTCAGTTTTTTTAAATGCCATTTCCCAACATTTACATATAAATATGTGGATGGAAACATAGCTACTGACTGCATTTTGCTGCAGCATATTTCATTCCCAATGAGAGTTGTCAATTTCTGACAACATTAGTGACCGCAAGCTCAGCTTTTACGCAAATGGAAGCAATGCGGAGTTAATTATTGTCGGTGTTTAATCTATAAAGCCCACTGCATTTCCTTCTCTTGGTAGCCTTGTTTTCATTTGTGTTACATTTATATACACTATTAGGCTAATAGTTAATCTAAAAGCGTTTTTTCCTAGCCTCCAATATGGCTGTTTGCACTGGACTTTCCTGTATAATTCCTCCCTCTGTTAGCGCACACTTCCTTCCACCTCCATATCCCACTAATCCTCTGTCATGTATGGCTGCTGCTTCTCTGTAGATGCACTGTGTTTGTGCTTTATTGTGCTGATGTCACAGTCACACGTTAGCCCCCAAGCTGCTGATTGGTTAACCTAAGTGGGGTTTACACTCATATATTAACTTACTGTGTGAAAGTCAGCTAGAAAGACCTGTTTTGTGCTGTTGGGATCATATTGAAAAATATGTTCCTTTTTAGGCGCAGGCAAAAGTATGAGCACCCCACAGGACTTGTTCCGAAGCTCAGGTAAAGTATTCCTGATGCAAGCATGACTGTCACATCACCTCTGAGCCCAGTTTGAGAAATGCCTGGCTTCTGAGAGCTTGTGTATGAATCAAACGCAGATCTCACAGAATTCATTTCTGAATGAGGATTAGTCTAGTTTAAGAGGGGGGTTATGTAACTCTGAGTCCGGAGGCATTAATATTTAATATGCTGCAGTTTATTTTTATACTCTGTCCATCTAAAAATGTTTTTGCTGTTCTAGAAATACATAACTTGAGGCTTAAATGACGAGGAACTTTGACAGATGGATTTCAGATATATTTGTTTTCTTAATATAGAAGTTATCAGTATCTTAACTGTAGTATACTGGTCTTTATTATCTTCAATTATTTGATTGTATGCTTTTTGTTGTGTGAGAGTCCCATACATTGTATGTAATGAGACCATTGTCTCATTACATTAAATTACATTACATGATAATTGTCAGCATGAGACCAATCTAGTGTTTGGTGGCAGAGATTTCCATTTCCATTCAAAGGTTTTTTTTATTATTATTATTTTAAGAAGAAATTGATACTTTTCTTCAGCAAGGCTGCTTTATATATATATATATATATATATATATATATATATATATATATTCAAATATAAATTTTATTTTTCAATTGTAATATTTCACAATATCCCTCCTTTACTGTATCAAATAAATGCAAACTTGGTGAGCATAAGTGACTTCTTTGAAAAACATTATCAAAATCTCAACGACCCCAAATATTAAACCATATTGTTTTTAAACCTCATCAGTCCGTAGAAGACAACTAGGTCACAGAGTTGACATCGTGGCTATTGACTTGATTTTGTGAATTACACTATTTTAATTTGCTATGTATGAACATCAATGCTATGGACATCAATGCTATTGCTATGTAATTTCATCACTATATTCTATTGTGCATAACCTTTCACCCTGATACCACCTAGGCCGTTATTTGCCGAATGCAAAAAAAAAAAAAATTATAATTCAACAAACTACATTAGATAAATGATTTGAAATCCAAGTAAAATTAATTCTTTTTACCTCTAAATTGGCATTTTGGACCATTTTGTGTCTGTATGCACTAATTTTCTCTTATAGTGAAATTTGTGGCATTCGCTATGTAGTGAGTGAACCGCTTTTTTTCACAGTATATCCATGAACGTGTAAATACAGTAACTCATGCGCCTTATGAGTTCAGCAACACAGCAAGATGCCATGATGGACAACATTTCCAGTTTTCCTTTCTGGAAACTTCCCAGTTTCTTAGCATCAGTTTCTGATTCTTAAGACATGGCTACCAGATGTAATCTCAATGCGAACAATTTCAATGTGAACTGTTAGTGCTCAAGATCAGTTGGGTGCAGTGTAATCAAAGTATACTTTTTCCTAATGTGCAAGCCATTGCTGTTCTGATTGGTACCTGATTATGTCCGTAATGCCCATCCACACAGACATCCATGACGGACCCCGAAAGTTGGCCGTCAGCACACTGTCCCTGGCCAATGGCACGACGCCGACTCGGAGCCCTGTAAACGGTGTAGCCGGAGGACAGCCGCTGTCCCAGAGGAAGAGGTTGCTCAAAGCACCTACGCTGGCTGAGCTCGACAGCTCAGACTCTGATGTGAGTGTGTTTTATATTTTCTATATTGCAGTAACCCTGCCAAAATGTTGAACCAGACTTTTTGGTGAATCCTGTGGGAGTCAATTGTATTAGCCTCTTTTTCTTACTCCAGGAGGACCAAAACACTCGAAAATCCGACAGCAGCTCCAGCATATCCACCTCGCTGGTTGAGGACACATCTCCAGAGTCCGTCGTGGGCAAAAAGAGTAAGAACCATACTGAAATATGCAGAACTTTTGTATTTGCAGTCACACAAATACATGTCATTGACTCTTTTTGCACTCTGTTTTGTCTTTTTCCCAGTTCCTCCAAAGTTCCTTCCCATATCTTCCACTCCTCAACCTGACAAACGCTTCGCTCCGCAGAGGAGGCACTCCATAGAGAAGGAAGCTCCCACCAGCGAACGGTCTTTCCTGCCTCCGTCTCGCCAGAACTCCAAATCTCTGGTAACTGCAACACAACCTTTCCTTAGCTCCATGTTTTTGACATGTTTCTGCCTGCAAAGTTTTAGGACAGTAAATGAGAATAACTTGGTGTAGAGCAGTCAGTTGGCTGCAGGCTGTGGGCACACTTAAAGGAGTAGCAAAAACTTTTGCTGGTAATTTACTCACCCCATCATGTCACCAAGGTGTCCATGTCATTCTTTTTTCAGTAGAAAAGAAATTAAGGTTTTTGATGAAAAAATTCCAGGATTTTTACCATATAATGGAGTGGGCACCAAACGGTTCAAGGTCCAAATGAGAGTTTCCACAGATTATGAGCGAAAGACACTTAATGACAGTTGTCGTAAACATGCATAAACCCTACTTCATATTCAAGACAGATGTCATGTCATGGTTATGAAGGTGCCATGTCAGTCACAATATTACTTTTTTTATTCTATTTTTGATCAAATGTAAGTCTAAAATAAAAAAGTACCCTAAACATTGAAAGTTAGTGCATCATATAATCTATCCGCCTTGATAGATTTACTACATGCAGCTTAATAAATGAAAAATGACTGCTTCAGATTTAGTCATGCTGACTGTGTTAGGTCCTGTCTAAAATCACTGTAAGTGATCAGTGCTGATTGCGAAACTTCTGAGGTCTTTGAACCGTTGTAAATTTGACAGTCACAGACCTTTTACATGAAAATGATTATTTTAGATAGTAAGTGATACTGTAGTTTTATTGCAGTATACTAGATAGAGAGCTGTAACTGCTCTACTTTCCTTTCCTGCCTTACACTGAAGCTGTCTTCGGACAACAAGGTAAAGCATACATCTTCCACATTCTCATGTCCACAGATTTGGAGGAGTCATTTCATCACTATTTCATCTGCAGTGAAATCGCTTTATAGTCTTTCAGCTGGGCTGTTGCTTCAAGTGTGTGTGTTGAAGAGTGTTGCATGGCCAGTAAGGGAAACTGCAGGAGGAAATGGGCAGAGTGTAAAATCACTTCAGTTACCCGTCATCAAGATCATTTTATGATCATAATGGAAGACAAAATTGATCAATGAGCTTCCTCCTTTTTGAATAATGCTTAAAATGCTATAAGTTATGTGCATCATTCAAAGAGTGTTAGATTTTGATAAGTTATAATTAAGATTTAAATAAAAAGGGATAATATAGTGATAGCCAGCAATATTTGCAAAGTAATAATTATTATATTACATTCTATTTTGTGCTGTCAAATCGATTAGTCACATCTAACATAAAAGTTTGTTTACATAATGTGTGTGTATATATTATATATATACATACACACACACACACACATGTATTTCTCTGTCTATACTGTATATACACAAACACTCATATGCATGTGCACACATACACACACACATATATATATTATATAAACAAACTTTTATGTTAGATGCGATATTAATCACAATTAATCGATTTGACAGCACTAATTTTATATTATATTTATAATATAATATTATTTTATTATAATATAATTAATATATTATAATTAATAATATATATAATAATATTATATATTATTAATATAATATATTAATTATAATAATATGTATAATTAATATAATTAATATAAGTCATAAATAATATATTATATTATGTTATATGCCTGATGCTTTTAAAATAGGTTTGTCTTTGCTCTCTTTCTTATACTGGATTAGTGTTTCTTAGACTTTCTGCCCATTTAAAATATACTTTCATTTACTTTTATGTAATTTACTTGTTTTAAAACATTTAGGGAGTATCAGGGACATTTTTGTACATGAAATTATACTCAAGTCAGTTTTCAACAAATATTAAATAATAGCCATGTTGTTTTCTTTGGTCAGGCTCACGCATTAGGCAGCGGTCGTGTGGTACGTCCTATTAAACTACATGTTGATGATACTACACTAACACTGGGAGACAAGGGGCATAAAAGCCAATATGAGTTTGTAGTGATGATTTGTCTTGTCGAGTGGTAGTTAAGGTGATTGAATGTGAGTATTAGAGATGTCTATTGGCTTTTATGTGTACTTAAATCAGTGTTCCTTATTAAATTGGGTAAGGACTAGTCCTGGGGCGCCGTTCATTTTATTTATTTATTTTTTTAAGATTTCCACTCACCTTTATATGCAAATTTTCCATACAAGGCTTGACCTAGAGGTGAATCATGCAAAGCAACATGAATGTGTTCATGTTTAACATTCCTTTAATATTGCTTTCCTGCCATCTCCATTGTGTTGTGGGTTTTGTTTTGTGTCGTGTTTGGCAGAGGGTGAAATACTGCAGAGTCATGGACTAGCATGTAATAGTTTTTCCATCCCTAATTCTTGGGTGTGACAGCATGGCATGTTTAAATATGCAACATATCCTTCGGCATGTTTGTGAAAGTGATGTGTTTGTTTCAGGAGGAGTTCTGCTACCCTGTCGAGTGCCTGACTTTGACCGTCGAGGAGGTGATGCATATCAGACAGGTTCTTGTCAAAGCAGAGCTGGAGAAGTTCCAACAGTATAAAGAGGTTTATAATGCGCTGAAGAAAGGAAAGGTACACTTTCTCTACTCTTGTACATTCACTGCCCACTATAAATGTACAGCCTAAGCTTTATTGGAGCACACATCCTGCTCACTACAGTAAGTGTTTAATTGTGCAATTTATTCCGTTAGCTTTGCTTCTCGTGTCGGACGAAGAAGTTCTCGCTCTTCACCTGGGCCTACACCTGCCAGTTCTGTAAGAGGTGGGTGGAGCTTTTCATTCAGAAATTGAAATAATGAAAACACATTAGCGATGTGCAGTGAAATCATATTTCTTCTCCTTTTACTCTCACAGGCCTGTTTGTTCACAGTGTTGTAAAAAGGTAAATGTAACATCTTTAACCCCTTGCTACTTTTGCATTAATATATATATATTAATATTTAAAGAGGACCTATTATGGTTTTTGCACATTTTCAACTTTCTTTAGTGTGTAATGTTAATGTTTGAGCATGAAAAATATCTGCAAAGTTACAATGTCCACTCCAATGGGAGTTATTCTCTATATCAGTGTGCGCTGTTTGTTTCTGAACTCTGTGAAACACCTCCATTGTAGTCTTGAGTTTTCTCAAGACCCGGGAATGAACATTCCTCATTTAAAATATTCATTTTTCCAAGCCATACGCAAAAAAAGGGTGTCAAAACCAAAACTCGCAGATAGGAACATGCCGAAGCGGTTGACCAATCACTCACAACACACCGACCAATCAGAAAACAGTGTGCTTATTGGAAGGAGGAGCTTCATAGAGACAGGAACTGTTTAATAATATTAATAAAATGATATTTTACATTATTGCAGCACCTCTCTTCTGAACATTACTCAAAAGAGAGGTGCTGCAAGAATGAAAAATAAGGTGTATTTGAACAGTCAAGCATAAAAATTCAAGTTGACCCCAAAAACAATAAAATAACAATTTAAAATAAGTCTCTTATGTTCAAAAAGGCTGCATTTATTCGATCAAAATACAGTAAAAACAGTAATATTGTGCAATATTATTATAATTAAAAATAATATAACTGTTTAACTGTAAAATGCAATTTATTCCTGTGATGGCAAAGCTGCAAGCTCTTGTTTTCTGTCACATGATCCTTTGTAAATAAATGATCACTGATTATTATCAGTTACTTGGAAACGGTGATGCATTTTGTTGCATATTCTTTGATAAATAGAAAAGGACATTATTTATTGTAACTATAATAAATATTTTGTAACATTATCAATATTTTACTGTCACTTTCGGTCAATTTGTTGCATCCTTGCTAAATAAAGGTATTAACACTATTAATCTGACTGACTGCTAATCTGCTAATGACCTCATATCCTTTCATCTCAGATGAAGTTGCCCTCCAAGCCCCATGCCAGCCTACCCATCTCCTCTCTGGGTCCCAGCATTCTGCCCAAAAAGGAGTCTGGAGCATCAGCCCCGGCAGAGAAGACCTCCTCCGCATCCAGCCTCAAGCGCCACAGCTTTCAGCGTTCCATGTCCAGGTGAGCTCCAGAAATCATGAGTATCATCTGTACCACAGTTAGAGCTTCCACTAAGAGCGTTTCTTGTCACGATCCCTCTCAGATCATCAAAGCACGGCGAGCGCTCGTCCTCCAAAGACGAGCTGGAGCTTCCCGAGCAGTTCACAGAAGACTGGAGCACCATGGAGGTCTGCGTGGACTGCAAGAAGTTCATCAACGACATCATCAGCAACAGCAGGCGTAACCAGACCACCAAACGTGCCCGTCTGCACCGCAGGACCCATTCAGTCTACATGTCCAACACCAATTCTTCCCACTTCAAACCTTCAGAACGGACTATCAAAGAGGTTTAGGATCCCAAGTGCTCGGAACTTTCACGGTGTGGTCCTCCTTCCTATAAAAACGTTCCTGTTTATACTGTTCTCGCCTGTTGTGAACGTGCCAGACAGAAATAAGCTTGCTATGTGAAAGGTGTACGGCCACTCTTATTAGCTTTGTAACGTACCTTCGATACCTCTTCTTTTCCATTTAAAAAGTGCCAGAGGTGAAGGAATAAAGCCGTCCCTCTTCCAGCATGAGTCCTTAAAAGCACCAGCCTTCTCAGGAAATGGTTTGATTCTGCGATTGGAGCTTTGGAATGTAGTTTAACACACTTTAAACCAGCTTTCCTCAAAAACAGATGAATCTGAATTAACACGGAATGAAATGAAAATGACAGTGTGAAAAAGAAAACGCAAGGCTGCTTTGATTACTGAAAGAACCAAGGCCTGAATGTACATTTTTCAATATAGTAAAGAAAAGCAGTTCAATTGTATGTAAATAGAGATGTAAATAGGCATCCAAAAGGACTAATTTTCCCCTTTTAGGAAGAACTAGTCTGACTGTTGATGAACTCAAAATCAAGTCTTACCAAATGTTTTTCTTATTGAACGTTAAAATCGCTGCTGTAACAGTGACACGGTCCAAATGAATGGCGTTTTAGATAATTACAGAGAGTACTTGCAGATATATATTTTTCCTCTGATGGCTGTGTTTTTGAGCTTTTAGTAAAAGACGAGGGCAAAGATGTGTTTTTTTTAGAGCGGATGCTAAAAGCTGTAGTGTTTCTTAATGGAGCGATCGGCTGTGCCAAACAAATCTCCACAATCTAAGCAATATGTGTCTTGGACCTGATGTACATAGTCAGTAACATTTACCGGAGATAGTGACGGCCCGAAGGGGGAAACCATCGCTCTCTTTTAAATAGGAAGGACTTTTGTAGGATTTGTTTATGTACATATACTGTATATCTCATCTGTTAAAATAGGCTCTATTGTTCTAAAGTTATATGATTTATATTATTAATAATGATTTTTATTTTGAAGTGTCAAATTTTGCTTATCTTTTCAGGTTCATTTTGAACCTTCACTCAACTTCTAAATATATTTTGTAATATTTCAACCATGTTTATTTTGATGTCTTAAAACTTTGTAAATTATGTTATGTAATATTATTAATTACTCATTTTGTGCAATGAAAGACCCTGGGAGTCTTTAACATCTCGTAATATGAAGGTACTTCAGTCTTGTCAGGGTTTTTGGAAAGATTTGTTCAGTTTTTCCTTACTTTATAAAACACGTACACACTTATACACATGCACTTGTTCTTCTGTTTTGTGCAAAACTGACTGTACTGCCTTCCTCTAAGCTAAAGAATGATTGGTGTGCATGATGAAATCTATGATTTTTTTTTAGACTAAGAAACAGAATTGCCAATAAATAAAGCATTTGAAAATTGAACATTTGAAATTGCATTTGATGTATTATAACATTCATCATCAGACTTGATATGTCAAGGAATAAAACTGATAACATCATAGGATATATTATAACCATAATCACATACCTCTGTGGAACCCTAATAAAGAAAAATAATATAATCAGTGAGGATATATTTATGATACTGGCAGTTTAAATTAGATCAGTTAAATATGACGTGTACTTAAACTTTTCCACACATTATTACCTGAATATTGATGTTTCATTTTTTCTTCTTCTGGTTTTGACATTTGACTATCCAAATAGCTGTGGATGCACGACATGAACTAGTAGGGGAGAGACAGAATTGAAATTCTCCACTAGAGGGCAGAAAAACATCACTTTCAACAGCTGACTTCTGGCATGTTTTACATTTCTTAAAGAGATAGTTCACCCCGAAATGTTGTTATAATTTACTCATTCTTAAGTTGTTCCAAACCTGTGTAAGTTCATTTGAGTAACTGTATAGTAAAATCTAGCTGTCTCAATACTTTTGGGCTTATAAGGAGCTATACAGTCAACTTCTTAAGACTTAGTGTTCATTAAGCCTGTGTTCATTCAACAGTGTTCATTAAGCCTGAATAGGCCGAATTAAGCCTGCCGACTCATTTACAAACAAACAAATTCCTACTGAGTTTCAGCTGAAAGAGAGTAAACTGAGATGACAGTAGCAAAACAAGCCTGTCTGGGGGTCTCATTGGTTGTTACCACGACAACAGTTGTCAAGGGCTGTGTGCTTGAGGTGTGCACTTTCGGGTTAAAGCGCGAGACCAGCTGCGCTTCCGGTTACGCTCACCCTCCTGCAGTCAGACCCCTTTATTATGCTCAGTGTGTAGTTGTGTGCCGTAAATGACAAAGTGCAGTGAAAACTAAGCTGAATCGATCGGTTTTTTAGGAATGAATAGACTAAATCCGTCAACATTTCTTCCATTCACTTGTTCAAACAGATATTTCTTATAATTTCATCAAAGGTAAGGTCAAGCAGACAGCTTCCAAGCAGAATTACATCTTGATTTAATCTCTATCCATTGGTCCTTTGTGTCTTCAAAGATGTCAGGGCTCTTCAATTCCTCATCTTTTATTTAATAATCGAGTTTCCATAGAAGAGAACCTTTTCCAACTGTTTACTGCCGCAAACACAAATCATTACTAACACCCAACACTTCCTGTTCTTTCAAAAGTCTTTCATTCAAAGCTATTTTGACACAAAGGGGAAATAAACTACATGGCCAAAAGAATGTGTAAACCTCAACACCACACACACACACACACACACACACACACACACACATATATATATATATATATATATATATATATATATACATATATATATATATATATAGTGTATATATATATATATATATATATATATATATATAGTGTTATATATATATATATATATATATTGTTTGATGGGAACGTTCCATAAACATAATGATGTTTATACTGTACAAACAGTATATTCTATCCCCTTGTGTATAAACCTAACCCTCCCCATCACATGGGATAAAAAAAAAGTTCACACAGACAAGAATTTGGCTGGGCAAACTTACAAGTCTTAAAATTATTTATATTTAGTTCTTTATTAAAATGTAATAGACTCTCAGAAAAAAAGGTACAAAAGTTGTCACTGGGGCTGTACCTTTTCAAAAGGTACGCTTTTACCCAAAGGATGCATATTGGTACCTAGTGGTACGTTTTAGCACATAAATATTACCACTTAAAATGTACATATTAGGACCTAAAATGGACATATAAGGACCTAAAATGTACATATTAGCTCCTGAAATGTACGTATTAACACCTAAAATGTACTTATTAGCACCTAAAATGGATTATATTAACACCTAAAATGTAATTATTAGCACCTAAAATGGACAACTGTACTTATTAGCACGTAAAATGTACATATATTAACACCTAAAATGTACTTATTAGCACCTAAAATGTACATATTAACACCTAAAATGTACATAATTAACACCTAAAATGTACATATTAGCACCTAAAATGGACAAAACCTGAAAAGGTTTTCTGAGAGTGTATAATAATAATAATAAAAGGATGTACAACATTAAACTGACTTATTTTTTAATGTAGTCGATTTATTACAAAAGTTAAGGAGTGTCTTTAAATTTTGTCTCGGGCCTTGATTGTTTTGCTGTTGGAGTAATAGGGAATGTAAAATATATACAGTATTTATATTGAAGTTTACCCTATTATTAACTACCGAGTTACAAACAGAAAGGTGTTCATATTGTCCTGCTGATGTTTGCTGGGTTTTGTCTGGAGGAGAAAGAAATACATAAATAAAGAAAGCCATAATATAAATGTATATTTACTGAGTAATCCACTATAGGGCGTCAAACTGACAATTTTCACCTGAGATTTGGAGCCAGATCACAGGAGGTTGTAAATGTCTTTAGAAAGATGGCAGCATCATTATTATTTTTTTTTTACTGGTCTTTTAGTAAAATCTGTTGACTTTAGCAATGTTTGATGCATGCCAACATTGACAGTTGTGTTTTTAGGCTTGGGAGTTTTTTGCCCAAGGTTTAATGCATAATTAAACAGTGGATTACCTCATAAATATTCATCCATGACATTTAATATTTTGGCTTTCATTGCTATTTATGTTTATCTTTCTTCAGAATAAAAAATATTGGCTAAACAAAATCAATTTTTTGAGCCGGGAAAGTTTCAGAAATTGGGTTGATGTGAAATGCATGACCCTGTTGCATGCTTGATTTGTTAGTAATGTGTGTAGAAGAAATAAACTCTGTTCATTAGAAGCAGGTGTACATCAAGCATCTCATGATCCATTAGGTTTGTTTTCAGCCTTTATTAATTACACAGAACTGTGAGGGAATGTTTTCTTCACCTCACCAATTACTCCATCACTTACTCATGTCCTTATGCTCGCAGATTTTACTCTGGCTAAAAAGATTGTCACATCTCTCTAATTACATCAGGCTAACAAGGCACTATATTGACTAAAATTGGGCTGCTCGAGCTATTCTGATGAGAAACATCTGTCTGAAGATTTTTAGGTCGCAGTTCTTCAGGGACATCTGTGCATTGCATAAGTCTGCCATTTTGCTCTGAGGTCCTGGGCTCACTCCCTGAGGTCCACTGTGACACTTGCAATTGCCAGCTCAAATCTCTTTTGATTAAGACAGCGCAGATGCTGGCGAGCACCAGCAGCATACCATCAAAGCCCCAGCTGAGATATACTCAACCCACAAACCAATGCAACCTTCCTCAGATGGTTTCCTGCCTCAGCTGTGGCCCCATATTTTTCATTTCCCTTAATGAGGAGGGGAGCGAACGGGACGCCCAAGCAGAGATGTTGCACCCCTTGAGCAATCATGGTGGGTTGGGGCGGTTTGAGACGCAGATCAGTGATAGTGAACCGTGATCAAACAGTTTGTACGGTAAAGTTCCTTTAGAAGTCCACACGTCTGTTTTAGGGTCATAGCACTCGAAGCAGTCGGAGTCCTCGATGACATCATGAGCGTTGAGGAAGCGTCCTCCGGTCACGTAGAGTTTGTTATTGATGACTGTGGCCGCATGGTGCATCCTCCTCTCTTTCATGTTGGCACACTTCACAAATTTATTAGCTTTGGTGTCGTAGGCAATCACTCTACTTGTGTATCCTAAAAAAGAATGTCAAAACACAGTAGTTTAATTAATGCATCAACTCAACAGATGTTTCATGGAGGGGACAAGAATGTTCCTCTTGACTGATTTCATCTCAACATTTATTCAATGTTGCTCTATTCATTGAATTCTCTGATTAATCAATTTTGTCATTGTGTAATAGTGACCTTTGAATTTATTTTAATGTTATACTGTATATTAAAATGTTTTTATGACTATTTGTTAAAAATGTCTTGATTTTGACTAAATGTAAAATTTACGTTTAGCCGGTCATTGTTAAATTATTCAACTAAATCAGTGGTTCAAGCAGGCCTAAAATTATTTCAAATAATATAAAACAACCTAAATAAACTAAAAATCAAGATTTTTCCTATTTTAATTCAACAAATATCTGTTTTACTTTGAAAGACCAGGGTTCTTAGTGTATATAAATAAGGATATATGAGGTAGCCCAATTTTCAAAGTGTGTTACCTGTCTTAAGTGTTTCTTCTTAATTATTATTAAAATAGCCTATTACAACTCCATGGGCATTTTTCTTTTTCTAGTTATGCTAAGCTCTGGAATATTACACTGGGAAGAAATTGTGAGTAAAACATTTCTAATTCTTATTAATTTTAAATATTGAGTAGTGGGAGGCATAAAAGTAAAAAAAAAATTGTAAACAAATGCAGCAGCAATGTTATTTTTGAAATTTTGCTCTCGGGGTCCCTCTACAGTTGGGAAACAGTATTGTCTTCTACTACTGTCGTAAAATCTGTCATAGGGGGAATACACGCGTGCATTTGTTGACAAGTGATACCCCTCACATCTTGGCCAGACTCCAGTGTTGCGTGTGAAATGTCTTCATCCCAGGTATTGGCATATATTTCAGCATGTCTTATGAATATAGTGTCATGGGCTTTATTTTATTCAAACGTCAAAAGATCGCGTAGCTCACGTTTACAAGCCAGCGTCTTTATAGTAATGTATAGTGTTTATAGTAATGTAGCATATCCATTAGCAATTCAATGTTTGTTGGTAGATAATAGCCATGTCGTCAATATTATAATATCAAGCTAGCGAAGCTACACAACACATTACCAACAGTAAACTGTTTTCTGACACACTTCACATTTGGTTTAATACTTGCTGTTTCAGCCATGACAACATAGTGAGGTAAAAAAAAAAAAAAAAACGCTCGTTGGGCTCTCACGTTGGAATTTGAGGAACTGGGGGAAGTGACGTGTGCCGTAAAGCAGTCGAATTTTGTAGTTCTTTTTGTGCTCGGGTTCCTACCCACTCCCCGAAGTTACAGAGTGCCAGTAAAAGCGATACAGACCACGTCAGGCTATGGCAGACTTGTCATTCAACCTATTGTACATTGATATACCATCTCAAGGGTTTTGGAAAAATAGTATAAAGGTTGAAAAAACAACATTGCTGCTTTAAAACTAAATTGTCAATAAACGAATGCAAAATTTTTACATAGATTTACAAAAAGTGTTTTACAATATGACTTCTTTTTGAAATAAATAAATAAAACTGACATTTAATTTGCATATTTTTTTCTTACAATATTTACTCACCTCCAACAATAAAAATCTTGTCTTCTATCACTGCAGCAGGTGCACAGACGTTCTTCACTGTCCTGGTTTCCAGTCTAGACCACAAGTTGCGGGAGATATGATAAACCTTGGAAAGATGAGAGGTATTTGTGGGATCACACCTTAAGCAAAGCACATCTTATCTTTTCCCGAATAACTTTCGTTACCTGTATTAGTCTCACTGGGTTCTGTAAGGCATCCTCGCCTCCAAACACATAAATCCTCTGGTCGTTGGCCGCCACTGCAGGGTGTAAGACTGCTGTGGGCATCGGCGCCATGGCCTCCCATTGATTGAACATGCTGTTGTAGCGCTCTACCGCATTCGAGATCTGCTTATTCGGCCCTATTCCACCAAGAGCGAAGATAAAGTGAAGGTAGGAGACGCATTGGTGGGCGTACCTTGGCACCAGCATGGGTTCGGCGGTCCTCCACTGGTTTGTCTTCAATGAGAGTGTGTACACTGTGGCACTAACCGCACTGTCTCCAGATACCAGACTAAGACTGAGGCCACCCACCACGTACAGAATGCTGTGAATACAAACATAAGCCGCCTTATAGAGCCGCAAAGGTAGTTTAGCGAGCCACTGCCAACGTTGTGTCCTTTCGTCATAGAGAAGTGCTTCCCGAGACGTCTGCTCGTTGTTTTTGCGTCCTCCGACCACCACCAGAGTCTCCCGGCACGTGTAGCGGCGCGGTGTGGTCCAGAGAGGCTTCAGCTCTCGAGTGCATTTGGCGCTTACGGAAAACATCAGACGTCGCACAGACTCTATGATCTCAGTGCACAGTGTAGACGACTGGACGAGCGGATCGTTGGCGATGAACTGGAAGAGGTACGTCGGATGGATGTACCGCAAACGGACTTTCTTGAAGAGGTCGTGAATGGCTCCTCGACGGGAGAAGGGGTCGTGGTGGATCCATGCAAGTAACGTCTCAAAAACCTGCTCCTCCTCCGCGCACAGTCGGTCGTCCTCCAGGTAGCACATTAGCTCGGGAAGGGAAAGTTCGCAGAAGTCCTCGGAGGCAGCTACGTCCGAGAAACACCGCACGGCCATCTCTTTGGCTCTCTCCTTGAGGCTTTCACAGTGAAGGATCTCAGAGAGCCGGATCATGCTCAGGCAGTTTTCCGGATTGAGCTGTACCTGTAGAAAGTTGGAGCAGGCCTCAAAGAGCCTTCCGTACTGCAGCATGGAGGCTGCCTGCATCAGTGGCAGCACAAGCTCCATGGTGATGGTGATGGCACCAGTATAGATGTAATCCACGACACCTTCAATGACTTCCGGTGCGATCCCTTTCAGGTCCACTCTAGTCTGGCTGCTCTCCCGAAAGTTGCTGCAGAACATGGCTCGGAAGTAGGGGCTGCTGGAAACCAAGACGTTCCTGTGGCACGGGATCTCCCTGTCTTCGATGCACAAGATCACATCGGTAAAGATCTGCTCCTGTCTCAGTATGTTCAACTGAAACAAGAGGTGAGCAGGCAGCTCTTGGTCCTTGAACGGAAAGATCTCTGTTGATGTACTAGCCATGCTGCAAAGGGTAAGGATTGAGAGTTTAATGGCAAATAAACATTAGCGTTCAGTCACCATGAGTAAGAAGTTACCATTTGCTTTTGTCATTGCCACTGCACAGCCTGTGCACCGCTCGCTTTCTCAGTTGTTTTATCACCCCGTATGTTCTATTCCAGAGTCCCTTAAATCATTTTAATGCATTCATGTGTAACCCTTGGTAACATTTCCCAATCAAAGCTAAGTTTATCAACGCCGTTGTATCACTTGCCAGCTGTTTCTGATCCTCTCAGTAGGTTTGCCCTTGACAGCCTAACCATTTAGACCAGGACATTTCATGGGCCTATTATCAACACTAAGTCGTCTAATCACCCCAGAGACAGCTACTGATTTTATTTCACTCTAGGTCACATGGGCCGGTCTGACGTCTATTTTGGGATGCTAATTGTTTTTTTCTTATTATTAATCACCATTCTGAGACACCACAACAAGGCTGAAAGTATTCCCCACAGAAAAAAGATACCATATCATATTCCAGTGGTACTCATTTAAAAAAAAAAGACAGCTTCAAAATAGACAACAAACAATCAGTTGTGAAAATGGCTGAGTAACAATAACTAATGACGATTTTAATATAATTCTCTAGTTCATCAAACAGGTAACATAAAATAACTAGATTTGAACTACATTATAAACTAGCAGGACAATTCAGGAAAAGCATATGCCCTATATCAGAATTTGCAATTTGTACATTAATTCAATCTTGCTTATATTTTTAAAGTACCTCTTGAACTCACCTGTTTGTTCTTGAGTTCCAATGTGAATCAGACCCAGTTCAACAGGATAAAAGCAGATTCATTTCTACCGAATTTCTTTCTCAAAGACGACACAGTCAAGAGTGGCATGGAGAAAGACACGAGGTCTCAAGTTTTTGCCATGAGGTCGCTGTATACATTCCAGTTACCTAGAATAGTCTGGAGGGCTGCCCTCCGGGTCTCACATGTGACCCTCCCCTTGTTTGTTCCCTCAGCGGTGGGCCGTGCACCATTCTTTTTGTGTGTTTACTATGGCAGTGACAAACTAGGCTTATCCGGAGGACAGAGGAAGGGGTCGAGGGCTTGTGCACACCCATTGGCAGGCTTGTGTAACTCAGGAAGCTGGTAAATATAGTGCAGTGCTGATGGCTAGGATGAATGTGGTGAACAGCTGAACCGTTAGGCCCGGTTACCTTGGTTTGCCTCTGGTTTGAGAAGATAAGGAGAAAACCACAACGGGCGGCTATTTACCTGCCTTTTAAGATAGACATTCAGATAGCCTAGACCTTTCAGCATTTTCAACATGTTCTTTACCTTGTTTTTATGTCATGTTTTATGTTCATGTCTTTTTATTTTTATATGACAATTTTGTGTTCTATTTTAAAGTATGCTGGGGGTTCTTGTTATCTTGTTTTAAACCCCTCATATTTGCTATAGCCTATATCTGATGTTTTCAAGATATTTTGTTCTTCAACTCAAGTCATGGTTTTTGGTTTCTTGAATATAAAGTTTTATTGTTTTTTACTTGTGTCTTTTTTTACCTGTCTTTTTCAGTAAGCATGGAAGTCATACTGGCAGATTAAAAGATGGCAAAGAAATAAAATGGAAAGTAAAACCCATCTCAGATGAACTGAACGTTATGTACTGGAGCAGATATCATCAGCTGTATGTTGGGAGAAGATGAATTATTGTCATGTTTAGATTGCTGGAGAGGGAAAGAAAAACAAACATGCATCTAGGCAGATTATGTGACAGTCCTTGAATGCCATGGAGTCTGGAATGTCAGCAAGGGAGCATCATCTTTAGCAATGCCACCTCTTCCCTGGATGACAACAGCTGTGTTTGCTTTACCCACTGCATGCTTTAGGCCTATACCTGGAATTACCTTGCTCATGTAGTTAACTCGTTTATCTAAACACAAACAGTCCCACTAAGGATATTTCTCATTTTTAGAGAGCATTTTGAACGCTTATATGCCTGACTGCATATATAGGCAATATATATGCAATTTGGAGTCCTTACTACAACCAATAAAAGACAACGCTGGAGTCAGTGAAAAAAAAACAAAACAAACTTAATGATAGTTTTATAGCCTAATAAGTTGTAGGCAAAGATTTAATAAAAACCAATCAGAGTTTATTTTGGTTACTACATATATGGAATGTGTATTAATCTGTATTCAGCGACGCCTGATTCGTGGACGAATTGTTCATTTGAGTCGTTTTTTCCCCATTAATTAGGCCCTAGTTAAATTAATAAAAAAACGAACTAAAAAAAAACATGATTAATAAAACATAAGGGACACCCATACTAATAAACAGCGATATGTGCTCGCTTGTAGGCTATGTCAGAAAGAACAGCAAGATCCGCCAAATCAGTTTTCCGAGCCCGTTCATAGAAATGAACCGTTTGAAATAGAGATGCGCAAAAATGAGACGGGCTTCCCATCACTAACTGATGATCCGCACTTACAACTGTCGTCACGCGCTGAGCGGAAGTGACGTACATAGCAAGAAGCGTGACGAAGGCTAGCTTAGAAATACAACAAGGAAGTAGACGTTCACTGTCAAGGCTAAAATAACATTTATAAAGGAGACATTTAATAGTCCAACGGTGACCTATCATTGAATACGTTCCGGGAGGGTATAGTCATCTCGGACTTACCCGAAAGCCCGTAAGTATCTGTTTGAATAACCGTGGTGCTCGAGTCCAGCAATGAACACGGACGTTGAATTTCACGTCAGGCAGAATTACCCGTGGAACAAACTGCCAGCAAATGTCAAACAGGTACAGTAACACACAGCAGCACACATGTCTTTATCACACACACACAAACACACACACATTTGCCATCGCTGCCTGCCCTACTTGCGTAATAATTCACAGCATCAGCACAATTTACAGATATTCTGTCATCCATCTTCTCATTCATTCATTCACCCGTAAACACACACACATCCTCATCGTCGTCGTCGTTACTATCATTAGATTCCTCTGCATGACACTAGTCCATGTGTAAGATCAATAGATGTTGGAAGGTTAATTATAGAAAGTTGAATATTTTATGTGTTAAAGACCGTTGGAATTGTCATTTTGTTCCAATAATTAATTTTACATTGTCAGTAAATGTAATTATTGAATAAGATGTGTGCATGTATCATGTTTCTTTAAAATTCCTAGTAACCCTGTAATGCAGCGTTATTTTGAAACAATGCATGTTAAAGTTAACAATATATTAATAAAATAATGTTTAATATATATATATATATATATATATATATATATATATATACAACATAAATTATGCATTATGATCCATAATTGTAATTTATATTGTAGTAGACATAATATATACATTTTATAACATTTATGAATTATTTGTTTATTTATTAGTATTTATTGAATTATTTCTTGAGCAGTTCATTAATTTATCAATTGATTGATTGATTGATTTATCAAAATGATATATTTTAAGAGTCATCCACTGCAATATAAACTAGTTAAAATATTTATGAGTATGAAAATTAGAAAGCTTGCGTCAGAGGGTTAAAAAGGAAACAAAATGAGACATGTATTGACATACAGTAGGAATATTGTGTCATACAGTAAATGTTTATAACATAGAAAATGTGGCTTTTGAAATACTTGATAAAATGTTGAAATTGATTTTTCATGTGGCAGTTGATTTTTCTTTCACATTCAATTCATAGTCACGCAGTCAAATTCAAATTCTCAGAACATTGTGTTTACTGACCATGCACTGTGTTCCTGACTCTGTTGGGATTAAATGTTTTTGCACTTTCTCTCATACCTGCTTCACCTTTTAATTGTCATCATCTTGCTTAATTCATAGAGTCTTGGAAACTCGCAGCGTGAATATGACAAGCAGGTTCTTCTGTACAGTATCCGAAACCAGTTACGCTTCCGCAATAACCTAGGTAAGCGTTAGATCAACTCAGAAAATCTATTGTTTTTCTCATATTTTTCACTCCATTCCAGACCAAAAAGCTCATTGTAGCTTCTGTTAGCAGATGTAATTACATAAAAGTAATGACTTGAAGGGGTGATTGAATCATTGCCCTGATTTAGTGTCCCACAACACGGTCGCTCTTCTTTAAAAACCTCTTCTTTAACAGTCAGGCATGTGAAGAAGGATGAACGCAAGTATTATGAAGAGCTGTTGAAGTACAGCCGAGAGCATCTTATGCTTTACCCCTACCACCTGTCTGACATCATGGTCAAGGGTCTGCGGGTCACCCCCTTCTCCTACTACATCAGCATAATGGAGGTTTGCTCTTAAACTCTTAAAGTCTTGAACTGTTTTGAAAGCGTTTATTTAACATTTTTTTGTACTTTTTTTAAAGAGAGTATAAACATCATTTGCAGATGGACTGCAAATGATGCTTAACTCAAACCTACACTGCCCACCTAAGCACCAGAGCTAAATGTGTTGGCTACATCTCTAAAGAATTTAATTTAATTTTCTCAAACAGTCCTTCCAAGTTATTTGGTCTACAGTTACCACCGATGATGTGAAAACTGTTGCAACATATGGTAGACATGGGCTGTCATCCAAGCGTTGTGTTTTTGTTCTTCTTCCTAATGATAGAGAAGTATTAACTGTTTACAATTTTCTTGTTGCTCGTGTTAATGATCATTACAGTATAAGTTATGCATTCTGACAATGCTCCAGAGTCCAGACATGTAATTTTGTTAGACGGGTAGTTTTTTTTTTTTTGAGCTTATGAAGATTACTGTAGATGACTCATGCAGTGTGTCAGCTTACCATATTTAATTGTATAAAGCAAGTGTCTGCTTTGTATCTCTTGTGACTTAAAGCTCCATTCCATAACATTTGTGGGTTAAAAATTATCCATGATAAATTTGAGCAAGTACATAACCAGCCAGTGTTCAATTTAAAACGGTAAGCTTGTAATAATTTTTCAGTTTTGTGTTTCAATTCCAGTGGTGTTTATTCAAGTGGTACTGGTGGATTTCCGCGTGAGATTTGAGCATGTCTTTGCGTCATTACGTCACATAATCCTTTTCCTTTTAACTTTAGCACATAAATTCTATGTCGGTACTTTAAATGTTGCGAAAAACTAGTTTGGAAACACTTTTTGTTGAGAAAAAGGGCTTTAACGCAAATAAATGTGGTGTCACATGATATTTTCATCACGTGGAAGCAGTTGTCACAACCCATGGTGGACTCGGAGCGGTATTCATGAACAGATGACGAGACTCGTTATTTTCTCCATTTAATTGAAGAAAATCTAAAATGTTGTCTAAAAATGTCTAAAAATCTACACTTTCTGTAAAATGTCTCTCCACAACTTCCTCCCAGAATGCCTTATTCCGTGGTCTCTCCCAGACCCGTCACATAAGGGTACTTCGAGTCCTATCAGATTAGCAACTGCTTCATTCTGCCATGCTGTCGTCTTCTGATATTTCAGACAATTATTTGTGAAATTGAAATGACAGTAAACTGGCAAATTTCAATTAACTGCCAGAATACTCTCTCCATTTTTTTTTTTTTTTTTGGTGTTGGTGTTTGTTTGGTGTTGCCGACTGGAACCCCAAAAGGTAGAATTTGTAATATTAAAATAAAATTTAAAAAAGTGTGTGGAAATGGCTCAAGGGCACTTTTTTTGCGATGCACCAAAACATATGCGACAAATCGCTTTCGTCATTCGTGACGCACGCACCCTTAAAGGCCAATTGAATGGAAACAATCTGATGACGATAAATTTCGTAATGTTTTTTTTTTTCGCATTCACTTTGTCGATAACATAAAAGCGCAAAAAGTGGATGGAAACGAGCTTATTGTCATGTAAACTTACCCTTAGTTTTGGGATTTGCATGCCTGCCTTTATGATTTCCTTGTTGGTTGCCTTGGTTACTGATTGATTTACGCTCATGTTTGTTGTTGAGTCGCTCATTATCTTGTTTCCATATTTACTCCTCTGGATCCTCTTGTCATTATAAAGAGGTTGTTTCTGTCAAGTGTTTAAAGTCACCTGATTATTTTGTTGTTTCTTCATTAAACACCTTACTGCTACAATTAGATCTTTGTTTTCATTCTCTGCGTCAACCCAGAGTGACAGAAAGTGGATGGTATCCAGGCTGTATTTTAAATAATCTGAAGCTATGTGATAGCTTTGTGTGATGAAAATTATCCATAGTCATTATTCATCCATTCAAAAGAGCAGCTTGGACATTCTGCTGTCATATGGGTTTTGAAAGGCATAAGGAAAGAGTATGATG